TGCAATCTTTGGGGTTTTTTATTAACAAGGATATTCTTTTCACTCCCATTTTAATATCAAATTACATGTTCTAAGTCACAAACAATGGACTTATCATGTACTACTGAGAGTAAAATAAACAATGGGAAATATTACTCTTATGTTACATGAGAGTAATTCTCTCATGCTATAGAGAGAATCCAAGTGGGGCCTATCATTAAAAAGCAAAAAAAAGAGGGGTGCAATTTTTTAAGTGAGAGAACATGAGATAACTATCTCATGTAAAATGAGAGTAGTATTTCCCATAAACAATTCAATCACAATTCTCATTTTTTTTTTATCACATTTGGGTTAATTATATGCTCAATTTAACCCTTAATACATAGTATATTAAAAGCACATCACAACCCCATAAGTGTGCATTTGGGGTTGTAGCAAACAATTTCCTAGGCTTTTTGCTCATCATCATGCACGAATTGCTAAGGTGACTCGCCTTCTTCAACACACGGGAACACAACGCACCAATGACTTCCAATCCTAAACACGATTGAGTTGATATCCTTTTAGATTTTCCAAGTTCTTCTCAATTTCATTAGATCTCTTCTTTATTATTTCTTTTTTCTACTCACACTCACTTTTTCCCTCAACTTCTCTTGATTTCTACAGGTTTGTCTTAGGGCCCGTTTGGATGGACTTTTCTTCCTCCAAAAGCTATTTTTTTCTTAAAAAAAAGCACTTCTCATTTTTAGTTTGTTTGAATGTCTACTTTTAAAAAAAGCATAAGTCACAAAAAAAGCCAAAAACCTACTTTTTTCAGAATCTAAAAATTTTAACTTCTAAAAAAAGCAGAAGTCAAAAGCCAAATATTTTTTTCAAAAACTAAATATTTTTATATAAATAGCTCTAACTTTTGTAAAAATCACTTCTAAGATAAAGAAGAGATAAAAGTTACTTTTTTGATAAGGTCAAACAAACGGGCTCTTAAACTCTCAAGGAATTTTGCTTTCGGACACTCATCTTTTTCTTCTTTTTGACGATCTTTCTCTCAATTTCTTTAAACAATTTGGATTGATCTAGGTTGTAAATTTAGTTATTAGATTGAGGGCTATGATGGTGCAACTTAAGTGAGATGTATTATATGTGTATCAATAGGTACAACACTTAATAATAAAAAAAAAAGAATTAAAAAAAAACATTTTTAAACAACAAAAAAACCCACAAACAAAATTTGCACACAAATAGAAAATTAATGATAAAAACTAATTTATGAAAAACTAAGAGCCCAAAGGTAAAACATGATAGTGTATCAAAATGAGATTGATGCATGAAATGAATTCCTCGAGCAAGCTTATGATAAAAAAATGATTAATCATTTATAATAAGCTCCCCATTTAGCTGACTTTAGCAAGCTTCTTGATCAAGACTTGTAGGACATCTTGCTTCAAATTTAATGAACCTTTTTATCATAAAAAACAATCGAAGGTAGTTCTATCTCAATATAGTTTTATCATATTATGTTTTAATTTTTTACTCCAATTTTGTCTTATTTCTTGGCTGGGCTTTAAAGTCATTTCTTTTGTTCTCTTTATTTTCTTTCTTTTCTTTCAATTTGCTTAAGATAACGATATTAAAAGCTAATTATAGCCAATCAAATTTAAATCCTAACTAAATAAAGACAAAAGCACTAGCCTGTTTGGATGGTCTTCCAAAAAACTGATTTTTATGCCTTACTTATTTTAGAAGTACTTTTTACAAAAATTAAAACTATTTATATTTTTAAAAAAATATCTGATTTTTGAAAAGAAAAAAAAATTGGCCTTTGACTTATGCTTTTTTTAAAAGCTAAAACTTTTAGTTTAAAAAAAAATCAAGTTTTTGACTTTTTTATTACTTATGTTTTTTTTTTTTAAATAGATATTCAAACAGACATTTTTTTTTAAAAAAAAAAATCTTGAAAAAAATAGATTTTAGAGGAAATAAAAAAGTTCATCGAAACGGCCTAAACCAATTTATACCAAATTTGGCCCACATAAGGCACTAAATATGCTCTAAATCACTCCAAACAAGTGCTAAGCTTTAAAATAGCCTCAAAATTTGGGACAAATCATAGCTACATTTTTAAGGTGGATCTTGGATTGATTCTCACACAATTTGGATCAAATTAATGCTTCTTTGATAATAACTTGCTCCATGAACAATGAAAGATAAGTTGACTTGTGAAACATACTTCTTGAATTAGCCCATTAAATCCTTCCTGGAATTCCCTTACTTGGTTTCTAATAACTACACTAAGCTAGACTTGGATCTGATGCCTTGCCGGAATTCACGTCTTATACTAACAATCATTCCTCTGAAATATCATATTTCTTTCCTTTATGACAATTAGCAACACATCCCACTTGAATCAAAGCACATATTCAAAGAATAACGATAAAATGTATTTTAAAAGCTTAAATATTGAACCAAGTACAAGAGTTCACTACAAGATAACTGATGGCGTGTGTTAATTACTATTAAAATCATATCCTAAGTAATATTCCATAATCACAGAAACTAATGATTATGTTGTAAATCACATAAAAGTTTAATTTAAAGAAGATCTAGAAAAATCGGAAAAATAAAAGTTAGAGAGTAATCCTACCATGTATATATATGGCAAAATGATTTCTGCAGCTGCTGTACCTACAACAAGCAAGGATACACGTCCGAATCCTAGGATACGGCAACGGATCCTGAGTTTTTTTTTGTTTTTTTTTTAAGAAGCCGTGGGGCCCACTTTTCTGTGTCAGCTGTAGATAACACTATCTACGGCTGCTGCAGAAATGTTAAACCCTATATATATATATATATATATAGGAAAAGTGTTTGTCATTTTAAATGACATAAAGTTATGTCATTTGAAGAGATAGATAGATACAGAAATTTTTTTTATTTAAATTTTAAAATTAAAAAAAAACCATACATTTTCTCTCTCCCATGATTTTCACTTTTTTGTGTCTATCTCTCTCCTAAAATGACATAATTTATGTCATTTAAAATGAAAAACACCAAACCCTATATATATAAGAGGGCAATCCTACCAAATTAATTTTACAAAATCACCGAAAGTTTTGGAACAGGCACCTCAGATATCTACATAAGAACTGAAGAAGAAAAGATATCACAAAAGAACCTAAAACGACGCGAAGTAATGCCACTTTTAAGAGTAACTTATGTTTCAAGCATGCTTCCTCTTTTTCTTTCTTTCCGGAACTTTGGGCCATAACGAAGTTTCATTTCATCTTTATGAAAGGTTAATGATATTTTCAAATTTCCTGTTACTTTAATCAGCAGCACCCAAGATCTAATCAACATCTTGATAAATTAATAATACTTGTAATAAGTGCAATTTTCTTAAGTTAGACAAGATTTTGAAAAGCTTTAAAAAATAAATTTATATTTTCACTTTTTTGTTATAACTTTTGGCGGTGTTTGATTCAATTAGTATTAAAGCCATAAGTTCAAATCACCCAGGGGTGGTGTTTGATACATGTTTTATGTGATAAGTAATTTCTTTAAATTATATATAATTTCACCTCTCTTAAAAGAAATTATGTAATATATTAGGGGATAGATTGTTAACTTTATTTAATTAGTGTTATCTTTATGATTTGATACCTGTAAATGAGACGCTTCCGTGCTTCAACACTTATCAGTAAGCACATTCATATTCTAAATTTGTAAATGACCTGTCCACTCTAATTTTTTTGGTAATTGACCTGTCCATTCTAATTTTGTTAAAAAAATAATTTGCATATAAAAGGGGAAAATCTCATTTTATTTATTTTTCTATTTTATAAAGAAAGTCTATCACTTAATATGACGTGAGAATAAAAGCATAAGGATTGAAAAAGGTCATTCAGATTTTGAGTTTAAGATTAGCACCCAAAAATATTGAGTTCGAGATTAAACAGTCTTGAAAAAATTAGATTACCTGAGTTATTTTTTGTACAACCAACATACACACAATTTATTTACACCCATTTGATTTTATTTTTTTTAATTTCTTCACCGGTTCATCGGTTAAATATTTATCCATTTGAACAATTGTTGATTGTTGGTTTATTTTTTTTAAAAGAAAAAGTTAAACGATGAATTTAATAAAACTTTGCTAATAATCAAGGTATACTAGTAACATCTTCGTTGTATACACGAAACAAACTCTTGTGAAAAGCACTAATGTGTTGGCCTAAATCGATGACATTACCATTCTGGAGAAATCAGAATGCATCTTCGGTACAAAACGGCAAACAAGGAAAGCCCGTAGTAGCATAATTGAAAAGACAAAAGAACGTTGGGGATGTTGGAAGAACATTGTCGCCCTTATAGTCCGATAATCTAAAATCCAGATTAGTTGGTGTCCATTATCCATCAAATACGGAATGATTTATATATATATATATATATATATATATATATATATATATATATATATATATATATATATATAAAGGTTTCAATTTTCTTAAGAAAATTTTCTCATTTTATAGATATATCTTATATGGAACTTAAAAAAATAATAATGCACAAAAATTGAAAAGTTACCGGTAGAAGAAAATAACATCAGAAAGTATTTAAAAAAAAAAAAGAAGACAAAAGAAGGTAAGAAATCTTAAAGTTATTGGTCTCCAAAGTTAAGAGCGGCTAAATGTAATGTTTAAGCAACTCTCTTGTCATGCGATAGACATTAAAGTGTGTGGGAATTATCTAACAAGTAGCATAAGCGACCAAATAATTCATATGCATGACTTTGCGAATACGCAGCACCCACTTTAACATCTTCGTCGGGTACATAATGAAACAAAACAATAAGCGAGTGCATTAATGTTCAAAAGGACAAAAAGGGAAAGCAGTAGCAAAACTGAAAAGGCTTATAAAAGCCACTCAAGTGCTGAAGAGGAACCTCAATCACTTGGATTATTCCTTGTAACCTGCTACTTTCCTTTGGTTACTCTATCCATTTTCTACTCCCACAAAGACTGATGGAAGTGTCTTTTACAACTGCAACATGCTCTCTCATAATGGTGTCTCTGGTTATGCTATGGGCATGGAAGCTGCTGAATTGGCTGTGGCTGAGTCCAAAGAGATTGGAGAGGCTGTTGAGAGCACAGGGCCTTCAAGGCAATCCTTACAGGCTTTTGGTTGGGGACACTATGGAGATGTTTAAGATGTTCAAGGAACGTAACAAATGTCAACAATCCATGAGTTCTCTGTCAAATGACAAGGATATAGCACCCCATGTCTTCACTTTTAACCATTACATTGTCCAAAAATTTGGTACGTGTGTATGTTATCTACAATTTTCTCCTCCAAACTGATGATTTCTGTAATATACTGTTTTTCTTTTACATTCAATAACTTCAAAAGTAGTCATGCTAGGTTCTAATTGGTAAAGCTCTTTCCTTGTGATGGAAAGGTATGAGTTCGAATACGAGAAACTGTCTCTTACAGGAGTAAGGTTGTGTATAAAGATTACCTTGAAGGAAGGACTAAATCAGTGAAAAAATCAACTATGTTGTGATTGAGTAGTTAGAGTGAGGGAAGAACTTATAATGTGGCACTTTTTTTTAATGCATCTTTCTGTATTACAAGAATGAAACTCATCACAATATGGAAATTATATGTACTTAGTTCAATTTGGCAAACTCATTAATTTTATGTTACTAGTTGTTTATTTAATCCTTCTTAAAAAGTTGGTGATAGCACAAATCATGTGTAGGCAAGAACTCATTTTTATGGGAAGGTCCCACACCAAAAGTGATCATCACAAACCCTGAGCAAATCAAAGAAGTCTTTAACAGGAACAATGACTTTGAGAAACCTAAGTTGAGCCCGCTTATCAAGTTATTGGGGACTGGACTTGCAAATTATGAGGGCGAGAAATGGCAGAAACATCGAAAGATTATCAACCCTGCTTTCCATTCAGAAAAGTTGAAGGTTATATATACGCTTTAATTTATGCTAATACTTTATTTGGATTTTTAGAGGGCTAGTATGGATTGCTCTTTTGTAACTGAAAGGTCACGAATTTGTTGAATCCAGGAAACATTATTTTTGCAAAAATATAAGGGATAATACTGCTTACATGAATTGCCCACACCCCAACCTCACTGGTGGGTTTAATGGGGATTGTTTTGTTTTATTTTTTATGTTGTACTTTATTTGGATTTTTAATTTCCTAGAAACATATTAACAAGAAACTTTAGAATCTTTCCTTTTTCCTAGCAAGTTTTACTCCATACAGAGTTTTATTTACTCATTATATTTCCATTGTGCTACAGATCATGGTACCAACATTTTTACAATGCTGCGACTATATGGTTAGCAAATGGGAAGGGATGCTGAATTCAGATGGAAAATGTGAAATTGATGTATGGCCTTTCCTTCAAAATTTGACCTGTGATGTTATTTCTAGAACGGCATTTGGAAGCAGTTATGAAGAAGGAAAAAGAATATTCGAACTTCTAAAAGAGCAAGCTGAACTTGTAATGAAACTACGCAACATTTACATTCCAGGGTGGCAGTAAGACTCCTAATATACTTGGCATCAAAATTAAGCATATTCTTTCTTTCTTTCTTCTGATATGTTGCAGCTAGAAATGGCTAACATTAATAAAGATAAGGATTTAAATGCCAAATTGCTAATATTAATAAACATTGAGGGAGACCCATTAAAGCTTCTCATACTTAGAGCATATTTTGTGTACTAGGGGAGTACCTATTCCCTTACCAAAAATAGAAAAGAATAAAATATAGGTGAAAATAACCATAAAGAGTAGTAGAGTATAAACAGATTACTCTTTACCATATTTAGTAATTAATGTACTGAATGCTTGGTACTCCCGTAGCACTGAAAACGTTTTCCATAGATATTTTTTATCTGCTTTCCTTGGGAATTCAAGAGATCTCATACACCAAGTAGTTATAGTTAAATTGATTAACAAGAGTAGTTATATGATCCATTTGCAGGTTTCTACCAACGACTACACAAAGGAGGATGAAAGCAATTGATAGAGATATACAAGCCTCACTGAAGGGTATTATCAACAAACGAGAGAAAGCAATGAAGGCTGGCCAAGTACTGAACAATGACTTATTAGGCATACTTTTGGAATCGAATTACAAGGAAATACAAGAACATGGAAACAATAAGACTGTTGGAATGACCAACCAGGAAGTAATTGAGGAATGCAATGCATTCTACATAGCAGGGCAAGAAACAACGTCGGTTCTGTTGGTTTGGACAATACTATTGTTAAGTAGGCATCCTGATTGGCAAGCGCGTGCTAGGGACGAAGTCTTGCAAGTTTTTGGCAAACAAAAGCCAGACAACGATGGGCTAAGTCGCCTTAAAATTGTAAGTATGGCATGGTTTTTAATTTGGTAATGGTTATTGTAAGTCCTTTTAAGAGGGAGGAGAGGCTGGAGTAATGATAAAGTTGCTCCTTTGTAACCGAAAGGTCACATGTTTAAATTTGAGAAATAACCTCTTTGTAAATATGTACGGGTAAGACTACGTACAATGATTATCTTTACCCCTACCCCGTTGTTAGTCGGGGTTTAGGGGGTAGTGATTTTGGTTATTGCAAGTCCTTTTGGTGCTGACTTTAGGTGACCATGATTTTCTTTGCCATAGGTGACCATGATTTTATACGAGGTTCTCAGGTTATACCCGCCTCTAGTTTACTTCAACCGAGCTATCCACAAGGATGTGAAACTTGGAAACCTTTCCCTACCTGCAGGAGTGCATGTTTCCTTACCAATACTCATGATTCACCATGATCGTGATATCTGGGGTGATGATGCAACTGAGTTCAAACCAGATAGATTTTCTGAAGGAGTTGCAAAGGCAACGAAAGGCCAAGTCTCATTTTTCCCATTTGGATGGGGTCCTAGAGCTTGCTTAGGGCAAAACTTTGCTATATTGGAAGCAAAGATGATTTTGTCATTGCTTTTACAAAGTTTCTCATTTGAGCTCTCACCGGCCTATGCACATGCTCCCATTACTGTGCTCACACTTAATCCAAAATATGGGGCTCATGTCATCTTACACAAACTGTAGTGTCATCCATTTGTGGAATTTATGCAATTTTATGTTTTCATGTTTTGCATTTACTAGGGAAATGCCTCTTCTGAATTATATGGAATGCTACGATGAATTTCTAAAAAGAAAGACCCGTAGTTTGAAGTAACATCTTCTATGGCATGGAAAGTAGTAAATACATGATAGTATTATGTTATAGTCCTGCACAAATAATGAAACACCAAAAAATTATTTTCCTGCTAGCATTTATTTCTCTCTTTCTTCCCACAACTACAATTTGTGCTATCATAGTTAGCTTTGGTTTTAATATAGGCATGGAAGTTGATGCAGTGGCTAAAAGGCTGTTAAGAGATATGCTGAGGCTAAAAGGCTGTTAAAAGAGCAAAGCCTTCTAGGCAATCCACATAATAATCGGGTGGGTACTTGAAGCAAATGCTTGAGATGACATTGGAAGAGAAATCGAACTCTGCAATATGCAACACAAATATGCAAGGAAAGCTACCTATATTAAAATCCTCAGCCACTAGCAAAAAAGGAAGACATTGATATATGCCAAAAAAAATACACACACATACACAAAGAAAGCGGAACTAACTAGACATACCTAGTGAGTCTTGACGTAAATGTGTCAATTTAGAGTTCCTCAAATCCCCAAAAGGAGATAGCAGCAGTAAGACTTGTAATGCGGTGACTAAGGGTTAAGAGAATAACGGTGGCTTGTACCTATTTGGAATGTGAATTCTTTTGGTTGCTAAAGCATAAATCATATCCCCAAGAGCAGAAAGAGATCGATTGATATTTTAGGCCTCCTTAAGACGCTCCCCATGCACATCAGTCTTTGCAAGTCTCTCACTGCCTTCCAAATGTACAAGCCAAAGCTTGCTCTTGGTACACTCACCATTCATCAAATTTTTTGCCCTTACCATTATGCAAAGCATGCTGAAAAAAAAAACATGTGATCATTAAAAAGTATAGAAAAAGGAAAATACATAAAGAGGTTTTATAAATATGTTTGACACCATATAGTAATAAAAAAAAAAAAAAAAACAGAGACGAGGATACCAGTGAGATCGACTGCTATGCTGTGTTATTACTTCCAACACCTCTAGCATTACTTCCAGCCTTCACTACATTCTGTACTTCCTTAATGTTATTTATCAACCTTGGCTTCTACAACACCGGGAACATGAAGAGATCCTTCATACGCTTGTTTTATAACCAATATAATAACCATTTCAAAAGAAATCATCCCTGTCACTTCGATTTTCTGCTCAGCCCAAGTGATACAGCAAATTTTAACATGCTTGGCAATGCTTTGAGACCAGAATGTCTCATGAATGAATAAAAATCACTTCCCATTAAACCCCTACTAAGCAAGGGTAGGGGTGAGGGTAATCCTTATACGCAGCTTTACCCTTGCATATTTGCAAAGAGACTGTTTACTAATTCGAACCCGTGACTTTTTAGTCACAAAGGAACAACTTTACCATTACTCCAGGCTCGCCCTCTTAATGTCTCATGAATGAATTCAATTGAAAAAAATAATTAGAATAACAACCTTGTTGTTGGCCCTGCAGCCAATAGGTCTTTGATCTGTTCATTCATTGTAAACCTCAAGCACACTACAAGATATATCATATGCAAAACGATTTACTCCTTTCCTTGGCAACCTAAAACAAGAGCTCAAGAATCCTATAATTTACTCCTCTGCTCCGCTCTGTTTGCCCACAAGCGAATATGCACACATTGATACCATCCAGCAAAGATATTACCATGGATGAGTTATCAGCAAAACATCAACTGTTAAAAACAAAGCAAACAATTGTTTAGAAAACTTCCAATTGGGTTAATAATGTGAAATTTGTACTAAATATAAAAATAATGATGGTCACTGGAGAGTACAGTTATTGCTGCATACACAATACATATACGTTGAACATCTTTTGGTGCATATACTCTGTCAAATCTAAATGATTTTCTGGTAGAGCCACCTGGTAAAATTCCAATGAATCCATCTTTTGCTGCATCAAAATCCACAACTGTTGTACACCCAGCAGAGATTTCATCCTTATTCAATTGTTGACATTGGCAGAAAACTGTAATGTTCCCAACTGTACATAACAGATGGATTCAGTGTCTGAGTTTCAATTTTCAAATGATGCAGAACAAAGTCCACTTACTCTATAGAGTAAGTAAACATGAGAACATACCTTTCGCCTCTTGAACTTCATTAAAGAGCTTCTTTCTCTTTGTCATCTATTCACTGTACTTCACTTTGAGATCAAAGAGTTTGTCCCTTGATATGATTCATATAATTTCAAAGCCCAAAGAGTTAATTGCAACCAAACTCCCATCTAAGGAAAGAAAAATGCTAAGTCATGTGAATGTATTTTATCAAACGACTTACGAAAAAAGAAAAGTGAAAAACGCTTGTAGCTTTTTGTTATCCATTTACTTTTCAAACTCTACTTTTTTCCTCTTTCCAACGATGATTGGTTACAAAGCATTTGTAACAACATTTGTGCAGAAGCTTTCATACCAAATATCATTGCTGTTAAGAAAAATATAGACTAAATGTAACTCAAACATACCCAATTACTGGACAGCAAAAACCTTATTTAGTTCAGGGATTGAATACACACATTCATGCGTGATACAGACCAAAAATTCCATTACATAAACAACTCAAGAGCAGTATATTGATATGGACCAACCAGTACAATGTTCAGTAAGACAGTTACAATAGCAGAGACAGTATATTGTGTGGAAAATTACAGTGACAATAATGGAAGAGACAATTAACAGTAATGAAAAAGAGAAGATAGCAGTGATAGTTCTAGAGCAACTGGAGAGGCTCTAATCTCTCCCAAATCACCTAAAAGGTGCAAAGGTCCCAAGTCCAAAGATTATTTCCAAAATGATCCTCCCCTTGCTATTAGTAACACTTGAAATTAAAGAATAATTGTATATTGAATAATAATAGTGTATTACAATGTACAAGAGCTCTCTATTTAAAGAGACTAAAAGACCTAATAGGTTGAGCTCATACGATGTGGGACTATATATATACTGAACTATTTTTACAACTATTCTAACACTCCCCCTCAAGCTGGAGCATATATATTGTAAGCACCCAGCTTGCCACAAATATATTCAACCCGAGGACCCCTAAGAGCTTTAGTGAAGACATCCGCGAGTTGATCATTGGAGTTGACAAATTCCGTTTTGATTTCTCCTGACTGAATCTTTTCTCGAATGAAATGACAATCGATCTCTATATGTTTGGTTCTCTCATGAAATACAGGATTAGAGGATATATGTAGTGCAGCTTGATTGTCACAAATGAGAGTCATGGGTTTCTTCTGTTCACAAAGATGGAGCTCCCGAATCAACTGCTTTAACCAGATTAGCTCGCAGGTAGCAACTCCCATTGCACGATACTCGGCCTCTGCACTAGATCGGGCAACAACAGTTTGTTTCTTACTTTTCCAAGAAATCAGGTTTCCTCCAAAGAAAACACAATAGCCTGAAGTAGAGCGCCTATCCGAGGGTGATCCTGCCCAATCGGCATCTGAATAACCACAAATTTCTAGATTTCCCTGATCTGAATATAATAAACCTTTCCCTGGTGCTCCTTTGATGTAACGAAGGATCCTAACAGCAGCATCCCAATGAGAATCACACGGAGAATCAAGAAACTGACTAGCGACACTAACAGCAAAAGAAATGTCCGGCCTAGTCACAGTGAGATAATTGAGCTTCCCAATCAACCTCCGATAACGTCCAAGATCAGATAATGGTTCTCCTTGTCCGGGTAGTAATTTGATAGTAGGATCCATGGGTGTGTCAACTGGCTTACATGCCAACATACCAGTCTCTTCTAGGATATCCAAGGCATACTTCTTTTGACAGATAGAAATGCCCTGTCTAGATTGTGCTACCTCAATTCCCAAGAAGTAACGCAGCTTCCCGCGGTCCTTTGTCTGAAATTGACTGAATAAATATTGTTTTAACTGACGAATTCCAGCTTGATCACTCCCGGTGAGGATGATGTCATCAACATAGACTAACAAATAGATGCACTTATCAGGAGATGTGATCCTATAAAACACAGAGTGGTCAACTTTACTGCGAATTAAGCCAAACTCCTGAGCAGCAGAACTGAAGCGACTGAACCATGCCCGAGGAGACTGCTTGAGACCATATAAGGATTTGCGAAGACGACACACCTTCCCAGACTCCCCCTGAGCAACAAAAACCCGGTGGTTGCTCCATATAAACTTCTTCTTGTAAATCACCATTAAGAAAGGCATTTTTGATGTCAAGTTGAAGGAGTGGCCAGTGACGAATAGCAGCAAGAGCAAGAAATAGGCGAACTGACGCCATCTTAGCGACCGGAGAGAATGTATCGCTATAATCAAGGCCGAATATTTGAGTAAAACCCTTTGCAACTAGGCGGGCCTTGAGTCGATCAACATGGCCATCAGGTCCAACTTTCACAGTAAACACCCAGCGACAACCAACTGTAGACTTCTCTGGAGGAGTAGAAACAAGGTCCCAAGTGCCATTGGAATGAAGTGCAGTCATCTCATCAAGCATCGCTTGGCGCCACCCTGGATGGGAAAGTGCTTCACCTGTGGTCTTAGGAATAGAAATAGAAGAAAGACTAAAAACAAAGGTGAAATGAGGTGAAGAAAGACGGTCATAGCTCAAAAAAGTATAAAGAGGATAAGGGTTACGAATAGTACGTGTACCTTTTCTTTGAGCAATGGGAAAAGCCTCTGGTGAAGGATCCGGAGGGGAAGAAGCAACAGCAGTGGGCGATGAGTCAGCAAGAGTCGAGTCGACAGGAGGCACAGTTTTGCGACGCTGATAGGTGAGAAGTGGACGGTCCTTAGGTATAGAAGTAATAGGTTGCTCATCTGGAATAGAAGCACCTGCAGCTGGCAAAGACAAGTCAAGAAAAGGGACAGGAAGAACATGATCAACCTGTGACAACTGAGATGGGATAGAATTAAAGGGTTGTTGATCAAGAAAAGTGACATCAGCGGAAACTAAGTAACGCTTAAGATCGGGAGAATAACAACGATAACCGTTTTAAAGACGAGAATAACCAAGAAAGAAACACTGAAAGGCTTTGGATGTTAACTTATCC